GTTTGCCATATTCTATTGCTTACGAGCAAGTTACAGGTCTTGCCTACACACCAAAGGAGGATATTATACAAGGGTGTGGGTCTTAGAGTTCATCTTAAAATGTGATTAGATATTGGAAAAGGCTAAAGAAAACCTGCCAAATTACATTCAGTTTGGTTGCAGAGCTGCCCCCACCCAGTGGCTCCCCCGCTGCAGGCACCACCCCATGCGGGGCCTGGCCTGACCCTGCCCTTCCCACCTCCCAGGTTTGTGACTCGGACACAAGGCTGGACCCCATGGCACTGCTGGAGCTGGTGCGGGTGCTGGACGAGGACCCCCGGGTAGGGGCCGTCGGGGGGGACGTGCGGATCCTTAACCCTCTGGACTCCTGGGTCAGCTTCCTGAGCAGCCTGCGGTACTGGGTAGCCTTCAATGTGGAGCGGGCTTGTCAGAGCTACTTCCACTGTGTGTCCTGCATCAGCGGCCCCCTGGGTGAGCGGGGCAGGGCTTGGGAGGGCCACGGGTGGGGTGGGGTGCAGGAGGGAAGCCAGAGCTGGAGGGGCTAAGGATGCAATTGAGGTTGGTGACAAAGATGGGGCTGGGGCAGGAATTAGGGGCGGGATAAGAATGGAAGTTGGCAGTGAGGCTATTGTTTGGGCTGGGGCTGGGTTTGGTGACTGGGATTGGAGAAAAGATACAGATGGGGATTGGGGCTGGAGCCAAGGAAGGGTTTGGGGAAGGGGATGGGATGGGCTTGGAATCAAGGACGGAATTGGGGCCAGGTTTGAGGTTGGAGATGGGTTTTTGGATGGATTGAGTAGGAAATAGGGTTGAGAATGGATATGGGATTGGGGATTAGATTGGGTAGGTTTGCAGCCACAGTGGGCATGGTTCAGTGACAGGCAAGTTGGAATGGATATGGGGTTGAGCACAGGATTGGGGCTGGAGTTGTGGTTGGAGATAGGGCTGACATTGGGATTGCAATAATTAAGAATGGGGTTGGAATTGGAGATGGGGCTTGGGCTGGAGACAGCATTGGGGACAGTTAGTGACAAAAGAAGCTGCTGCTTTTACACATTACCCCTCCCTGCAGGCCTATACAGGAACAACCTCCTGCAGCAGTTTCTTGAGGCCTGGTACAACCAGAAGTTCCTGGGCACCCACTGTACTTTTGGGGATGACCGGCACCTCACCAACCGCATGCTCAGCATGGGTTATGCTACCAAGTAAGTTAAGGGGACCGGGTGGTTGGGTGTGTGTGGAGGCCAATGAGTGTCCCAGCAAATGTGTGTGTCTGTTGTGTGTGTGCGTGCATGCATGTGTGTGTGTGTGTGTGTGTGCTTGTGTGTGTGTATGTTGTGTGTGTGTGTGTGTTCGGAATTTTCCAAACCCAGAGTAACTCTCAGGACAATGGCCTCTACCAACTGAGACATTAGAACAGAGAGGAAGATACTAGATAGGGAAGAGGGGGCATTTGCTTTGAGCCAGTGGACTTTACTGAGATATTAGGAGACAGTGGAAGATACCATAAGGGACAAGGGTGGCATTTGCATTGAACCATGTGGCCCAATGGACTTTAGCAAGTGATGTGAGGGTGAAGGTGTGAATTCCACCTAGAAGATACAACGTGAAAAGGGGTGAGTTGGCTCCACTATGGAGACACGGAGACCCAGGCAGCACAGGTCACTCCGTGTGAGGAGTGAGGTGAGCTGGGAAGGGCAAGAGATAATAGGGTGGGATCTAATAGTGAGAGAGCCACTGAGAAAGAATCAAGTGAGAGAGGAGGGGGCATCCAATCTCTAGTAAATGTTTCGGGAGAAGAGAAGTAATTCAATGAGACTCGGGGAGGGAGTGAACTAGACCAAGTGAAGTTCTTGGGAGAGTGGTTTCTTTTCTTTTTCTTTCCTTTTTTTTTTTTTTTTGTGAGTCAGAGTCTCACTCTGTTGCCCAGCCGAGAGTGCTGTGGCATCAACCTAGCTCACAGCAACCTCAAACTTCTGGGCTCAAGCAATCCTCCTGCCTCAGCCTCCCAAGTAGCTGGGACTACAGGCATGCACCACCATGCCCGGCTAATTTTTTTCATACATTTTTAGTTGGCTAATTAATTTCTTTCTATTTATAGTAGAGACGGGGTCTCGCTCTTGCTCAGGCTGGTTTTGAACGCCTGACCTCGAGCAATCCGCCCGCCTCGGCCTCCCAGAGTGCTAGGATTACAGGCGTGAGCCAGCGCGCCCGGCCGAGAGTGGTTTCTAATACAAAGCCAGACCCAGTGAAAGACCCAGCGAGATCCTGGGATATACTGAGGGAACCCATTCACTTGACAGGTTTCATTCGTGCCTACAATGTTTTAAGCTCTGGGCATGCAGCAGTAGACAAAAGGGACATAAATTCATGTTCACAGTGACTGGGGAGATAGACACCAAGTAAGACAAATCAGTAGCACATTCAGCATGTTAATGAAATGTGCTGTGGAGACAGATCAATCCAGGAAGGGTGACAGGAAGTTTTGGCTGGAGCAATGGGCCGGGGGAGTGGGGCGGTGTCGGGAGAGGACAGAGAGTTAACGGAGGGTCCACGCGTGCAAGGCTTATAGGATGCGGGAGGGCCTTTGATGAAGATGAGGGAGCCACGGGAGGGTTAAGCAGAGAAGCGGCGCTGCGAGAGGACCGTCGGCAGCTGTTGTGAGTGCGGGCAAGGTGGGACAGGCTGGCCGTCGAGGACGCCAGATGACACGGGAGGAGGCTGGGCACAGCCAAGCAGCGCCCAGGCTCCGGGGCTGGAAACCGTGCAGGCAGTGATGAGGGGTGACGTCTGCCCCACAGGAAGGGCGAGGGGCCCCTTGAGCAGCTGTAAGGCATGGACTGCCCAGGCAGCAGCCACGCCCGACTTGCTCCTCACTGTAGAGCCTGCCAATACCAGTAAGCATAGTAGCATTAGTAATATATTAGTGATAGTGTTAGTAATAGTGTCAGGAACCTCAGTGATCTTAGTAATGGCAATAGTAATGGTGTTAGTCACAGTAAATATAATAGTAGCTGACATATTGGGCAAGGAAAATCTACTGGTCCTAAGCATTTGGCATTTAATCCTCATTCAATCCTCACAACGTCCTTATTAGATAGCAATCATTATTGATCCCATTTTACATATGTGAAAACTGAGGCCCAGAGAGGCTAAGAAATTTGCCCCCAGTGGCCGTCCACAGTGGTCATGTCTGGCTTCAGAATCCTCGGTGGCTCCGGGGAGGGCCACGCTGACGCCTTCCTTTCTGCCACCTGTCCAGGTACACCTCCAGGTCCCGCTGCTACTCGGAGACGCCCTCGTCCTTCCTGCGCTGGCTGAGCCAGCAGACGCGCTGGTCCAAGTCGTACTTCCGCGAGTGGCTGTACAACGCGCTGTGGTGGCACCGGCACCACGCGTGGATGACCTACGAGGCGGTGGTCTCGGGCCTCTTCCCTTTCTTCGTGGCGGCCACCGTGCTGCGGCTCTTCTACGCCGGCCGCCCGTGGGCGCTGCTCTGGGTGCTGCTGTGCGTGCAGGGCGTGGCGCTGGCCAAGGCGGCCTTCGCGGCCTGGCTGCGCGGCTGCCTGCGCATGGTGCTGCTGTCCCTGTACGCGCCCCTCTACATGTGCGGCCTCCTGCCCGCCAAGTTCCTGGCGCTGGTCACCATGAACCAGAGCGGCTGGGGCACCTCGGGCCGGCGCAAGCTGGCCGCCAACTATGTCCCTCTGCTTCCGCTGGCCCTCTGGGCTCTGCTGCTGCTCGGGGGCCTGGTCCGCAGCGTGGCCCAGGAGGCCAGGGCCGACTGGAGCGGCCCCTCCCGGGCGGCCGAGGCCTACCACCTGGCCGCAGGGGCGGGCGCCTACGCGGGCTACTGGGCGGTCATGCTGACGCTGTACTGGGTGGGCGTGCGGAGGCTTTGCCGGCGCCGGGCGGGGGGCTACCGCGTCCAGGTGTGAGTCCCGCCCCGCAGGTGCCCGCTCAAGGGTCTTCGGGGGAGGCCAGAGGACACCTGTGGGGCCCCAGGAGCCACGAACTTGCTGGGCCTCAGTTTCCCTCCTCTGTGAAGCGAGGGGGTCGACCCAAGATTCTTCAGTCTGGACTGTTGGGGCTGGGACTTCTGGGTCTCTGGGAAGGGGTATTTATTGATCAGGGTGTGGGTTTTAGGGGCAGAGGGGAAAGGGCCCCACTTTCTCCCTGTTCTTATTTAACCTCCATTTGTACTGTGTGATTAGCATATAATAAAGACTTCTATTTATTTTCTCTGAGCCTCCCACCTTTTTTGAGAATGGAAGGGGCTGCATGACTGAGAATGGAAGACTCTTGGCCCAGCCTTGGGTGCGGCTGCCTAAGCCTGGACACGAGGCCCTCCTTCCTCGGAACCTCAGTCCTTCCTTTGGAAAACAGGGATTGTTAATCCCACGGGTCAAGGCTGTAGTGAGGGCTAAATTACTCACTCGCAGAGACTTACGGAGCACCACCACGTGTTGGACACTGCCAGGCTCTGTGGCTGGTGCTTTCTTCCTGTTGCATCCACTCAGAGGCTCACCTCATCCCTTCTCCCCTCAAACGCCTCCCTCCCCGCCCGCAGCCTCACCCTGAGCTGGTTTTCTCTCTCCCAGAGAAAACAGAGGTTACAAGAAGGATCTCCACGTCTTTCCGCTCGCCTGCACCTGTGCTCACACACGCCACCTTCATGCTGCTGCTGAGGGTGAACGGGCTGTGCTCTGCGCCAACGCCAGCCTCTCCCACCTGGCACCAGACCCATGCCCTCTCGTCGGCTCAAAGATGTGACTCCAGCAGTTCTTCCCCGCCTCCATCCTCCCCTCCCTTCCAGGTCTTTCCCATCAGCATCCAAACATGCTGTTACTCTCCCATTTTTAAGACTCCCTTTCTTGACCTCAACTTCCCCTTGAGCTACTGTTTCATTTCTCTTTCTGTTAATAATAAAACTCAGTGAGAATATATTTGTCTCCAATTTCGCTCCCACAGAGTTCACCCATTTAAAGCACACAATTCAATGGTTTTCAGTAAGTTTATAGTTTTGTGCAGACTTAAGCATAATCTGACTTTGAAACATTTTCATCATCCCCAAAAAGGAACCCCATACCCGTTGGCAGTCACTCTTAATTCCTCATTTTGTTGTCCCCCCAAGACCTAGGCAGCCACTGATCTGCTTTGTCTCTATAGCTTCACCTTATTATGGATGGTACACAGAAATGAAATCATGCAGTATGTGCTCTTTTGTGACTGACTTCTTCCATTTAGCATCATGTTTTCAAGGTTCATTCCTGTTCTTGCAGGTATCATGGATTCATTCCTTTTTATTGTCAAGTAATATTCCATAGCATGGATATATCACATTTTGTTATCCATTTATCAGCTGACATTTAGGATGCTTCCACTTTGGGGCTGTTATGAATGATGCTACTATGAACATTCATGTACCAGTTTTTTTGTGTGGACGTAGGTTTTTAATTCTCTTAGGTATATACCTGGGAATGAAACTGCTGGGTCCTACAGTAATTTTATGTTTAATTTTATGAGGAACTGTCAGTTTTCCACAGGGCTGCACCATTTTACATTCCCCAGCAATGTATGCGGGCTCTAATTCCTCTATACCCTTGATACATTTGTTATTACTTGACTTTTTGATTACAACCATCCTAGTGGGTGTGGAATGGTATCTCATTATGGTTTTGACTGGCATTTCCCTAATGACTGATGTTGACTCCCATTGACTCTTAAATTCATGTCAATCAGATGGTTGTCCTCCCATGGAAACTGCTGTTGTCAAGTTCACCAATGATATCCACACTGGTAAAACCAATGGCCAATTCTCAGGCTCCCTGTTTCATGATTTGGCAGCACCTGACACAGTTAATCACTTCTTGAAATGCCTTCTTCACTTGGCCTTCAGAATGCCATGGCTATGCTGCTTTCCTCTATCCTCAGTTTTCTTTCATAGATCCTCTTCATGTAGCTACTTGACATTGGAGAAACCTCTTATCCATCCACACCCCTTTCCCTCAAGCATTCAGTGTTATGGCTCATCCAGTGTTATGGATGTCTCATTCACGTTCCAGACATGGAGATGAGTCTCCCAAACTTATCTTCAGACCAGACCTCACCCCTAAATTCCAGACGTGTATATCCAAGTGCCTCCAAGACATTTCCACTTGGAGATCTAACAGGCATCTCAGACCCAACTCCTCATCTCTCCTCCCCTTCCTTCCTGCTAATCCCCACAAAATCTGCTCCTTTGACAGTGTCCCTATCTTGCTCAACAGAATTGCATCCTCCTAGCTGTTCAGGCCAAAAATGCTAGAGCTGTACTGTCCACACAGTAGCCACTACCACACGGAACCATTCATTCATTCGTTGATTCAATTCACAAAAACATTTACCAAGTACCTACTGAATTTCATACACACTGCCAGGTTTGCAAGTATAGACACAATGAAGAGCCCGCTCCTGCTTTCAAGGAGCTCTTAGTCAAGCAAACACAAAGAGAGTGATCTACAGGTGAGAAAACCCAGACACATGCCTCTGTGACTTTTGCTGTCATGGAGCAGGGGCTATTTAAGTTTAAACTAACTAAAGCCACCCAACATGATAAATTCAGCTCCTCAGTTGCACTGGGCACCTTTCACATCCTTCATCACCACATGTGGCTGGTGCTGTCATCCTGCACAATGTAGACCTAGAACATCTCCATTAGGGGAGGGGGTTCTACTGCACAGTGCTGTTGTGGTTACCCTCGACTCTGTCACTGTGCACGCACTTCCTAGGCCTTGCTCCAGCTACATGGGCCTCCTGGCTGTGCCTCCCACATGCCTAGCACTCCTGCATCAGGGCCTTTGATTTAATTTTTTTTTTTTTTTGGCCTGGAACACTCTTAACACAAATGTGCATATGGCTCACATCCTCATCCCCCTTTAAGTCTTTATTCAAATGTCACCTTCGAAGTGAGGTCTTCTCCAAGGATCTCATTGCTGTCTCCTCTCCCCCGTTCCATCTTTCTGCTTTATCTTCTCCATCACACATATTATCACATGACTCGATACACATTTTACTTCATTTTCCTGCTTATTTTCTGTGACATAAGAAGCTTATTTGGAGTTTGCCCCCGGTTCCGGACATAGAGCTTCTAAAACTCTTAGAATTTTCTGAGTGATGTGAGTGACAGAAGTGTCTTAAACAGGGTTCCTAAATCCCTTGGCATTTCCTGGGTGATAGGCATGTCTTTTGTCTTTTGTTCTAGTCTGAACATGACTCTTGGTGGGCTCTTGCTTGGAGGAACTTTGTGCCCTACGCCCTCAGGGAGGAGAGACAGGCTAGAGATGGAGTCAATAATTATTAACAGTCAGGCCCACATGAGGAAGCCTCCATAAAACTCCCTGAACTATGGGGTTCAGAGCACTCTTCCAGGTTGGTGAAGGTATCCACGTGCCCGCAGGGTGAAGCACCCTAACTCTACAGAAACCCCTGCAAGTGGGACCTTACAGACCTCTCCCTATTTACCTCTTCATTTGGCTATTAATCTGTTTCCTTTATGATGTCTCTTATAATAAATCTGTAAATGTTAAGTAAACGTTTCCCCGAGTTATGTGAGCTGTTCCAGCAAATGATTGAGCTAGGGGGGCTCGGTGCAGGTTGTGGGAACCTCGACTTGCAACTCACACCTGAAATCAAGGCAGTCTTGTGGGCCTAAGCACTTAAAACCTGTGGAATTTCACACTAACTCTGGGTGGTTGATTTCAGAAATGAAATTAAATGATGGCACATTCAACTGGTATCCAGAGAGATGGAGAATTGGTTGGTACAGAGGAAAAACATCCACACATTTGTGTCAGAAGTGGTGAGTGTATAGTTTTCCTTAACTGTCCGCTATAATCTAAGCTCCATGACAATATTGTATGGATTTTTTGTCTCTTATTTCTTCATTGCTGTCTCTACGTGACATATAGTAAGCGCTCAATAAATAATCGCTGAATGAATGAATCCATAAAAGGGAATATTATCAGTGAACAAGAATGAATACATGCTCAGAAGGAGCTTCCTTTTTAGGTAGGGAAAATAAAAACCAATTAAAAAATGAGTTAATATTAGGTCCCGTTGAGTCTTAGGCACAAGCTAAAATCAGGGGATGTCAAATAGTCACGGGGGGGGGGGCAGTCAGAGGTGACACCAGAGCTGGAATCTGCAATGAGAGGGAGGTGGGTTCATGATGTTTAGAGGAAAGGTTTTTTAAGTATGAAGCACAGCACATGCAAAGGCCTGAAAATGGGGCTGATCTTTGCATGTTCAAAGGACCAAAGCAGGAGGCCACTGGGGCTGGACAGTAGCAAAGGGGATGAGGTGAGGTGGAGTCAGCAAGTACAGTGCCGCCTTATAGAGCTGTTGCAGGGATAAACTGGGTTAATACATGTAACAGCCACTCTGGGAAAATCATAATTGAGTTAACTAGACAAAAATAAATAAATAAATAAATAATTAATTAATTAATTCTAGGCCAGAAACAGCATGTACCAAGATCCTGGAAAGGGTGAGACAAATCATAATGAGTATAAGGAAGGAGGAAAGGCCAGCGAAACTGCAGGGTAGAAAGATCAAAGGGGAGAGTGGGAGGGGACAAGGCCTGTGAGGTCAGCAAGGGCCAGAATCTAGGAGCTGTGGAAGCTTTGACAAGGAGTTGAATTTTGTTCCAACGGCAGTAGAGAGCCACTGAAGGATTCTGAGCAGAGGAGTGACCTGATCTGACACACTTTAACATATTACTCCTGCTGCGGTGTGCAGAATGGGCTTCAGTAGAGCAAGGAGGCTGGTAGAGAGGCTGCGCCAGAGACCCAGACATTTAGGAATTAAAAAGGCTGAAATCTGGAAATGCAAATGAATTGCAAATGGAGGAGAAAATAAATAGGTTTCTGGTTTGAACTGCTAGGTAGATGGTGGTACTCTTTCTGGTAGGAAGTAAGTCTTGGAGAGAACTTTGAGGACAACACCGAGGACTCTATTTGGGGATGTCTTCTGGAAGTGGAAATGTCAAGGAGACTGTCAAAAGTCTGAAAAGGGGTCTGGGCTTCCACCTAACAGAGCCGGGCACTGTGACAGCAGTGCCTATTACTGTCATTATGAGGGTGACATTCACCTGGGCATGTCAGGAGTATGCTGCACCTCCTCCTTCCTGAGTTAATAGGAACCACCTTTAAAGATGAAAGAATCCAAAGTTGAAATAGTATTTATTTTAGGGATGGAAATAGGATAAGGAAGAGATACCTTTGTTAGTTACCGCTGAAGTACCATTGAAAGAACATCCTGGGGAAACAAGGAGGCATGTGTGTTGGAGGAGGGGTTGGTGACCAGAAATCTAGGTCTTGGAAGCCTGGACTCAAAAGTGGATAGGGCTTGGACTCTTGGATATGAAGGAGGAGGGGTGGGCTCCTCCCCTCCAGACCCAGGTCCGCCCGCCTCCTCCCCTCCAGACTCGGTCCAGCCCAGCCCTCACGTCCTCAGACCCAGGGTCCGCCCCCGCTCTCCCTCAGCCAAAGGGTCCGCCGCCCTCCTCCCTCCAGACCGGGTCCGCCGCCCTCCCAGACCAGGGTCCGCCCCCTCCTCCCTCAGACCCCAGGTCCGCCCCCGAGCCTCGTCCTCCAGACCCGGTCAGCCCCAGCCCTCCTCCCCAGACCCAGGTCCGCCGCCTCTTCCCTCCAACACAGGGTCCGCCCCATCCTCCTCCTCCAACCCAGTCCACCGCCAGCTCTCCTCCAACGGGGTCGCCAAGTCTTCTCAGACCCAGGTCCAGCCAGCTCTTCCCTGCAGACCCAGGGTCACCAAGTCCCTCTCAGACCCAGGGTCACCCCAGCCTCCTCTCCAGACCCAGGGTCCACCCCACCTCTCTCAGACCGCGGGTCCCAGCCCCCCAGCCTCCTCCCTCAGACCAGGGTCGACACCAGCCCATCCCTCCCTCAGACCAGGGCCACCCAAGCCCCCCTCCCTCAGACCCAAGGGTCCACCACCAGCCTCCTCCTCAGACCAGGGCCACCAGCTCCTC